GTTTATAATCATACTACTACCCTACTACAACAAAACTTCCAAAATTTGTACTATTGCAATGAGCAACTGCAGACAGCACAGTTTTAGATAAAACCCTAAGTAATGAAGAATTTTTGAAGAAAGGAGACTTCGTACAATACCGAAGATTTTCCCAATATATAGGCTGTTTCCCGTTCATTCGATAACTACGTATATAATTATACGCATATGTTTTACTACCTCTGTTGTCACCATTGGTCCATCGAAAAGGTCTTTAACAAAAATCATTTAGATTTCAACATAATATAGCCTACAGAATATAATATGAAACACCTCACAGAAGTTTCTCACTTCTTGCATTTGTCTTTTTATTTAACGATCATCATGCATCCAAATGGGTATTGAACGTTTAATTCAAATGCGTTAATGAAGTTTAGGTAATTGGTAACATTACGTGCTGTTAGCCGAAATAATATTGCATCAAATAACGGCGCAGCACGCCACATCGGGCTAGTTTTAATAAGTTGAATGGACCTACCGTGAATTCTGTGCACTTCTGCAATTTTAACACGCCTAATAAGTTCCTGTACATCTTATTCCAAGATAAATATGTATAATCTTTTAGAAAATGATTTGAGGAAAGAACCGACGACAGAAGAAAAAATGGGGGGGGTGGGGAGAGGACATTTTCCATATTCTTCAATAATTACGGCTGACTGTCTGTCAGTCTTGAGTGCCGCAGACGGACACAGATGACAAACAATATAAACCAAATTAAATGGAGTTCTATTAAAGACGAGAGAAATATCAAAAAATAAACGACAAGAAAAACAAAGAAAGCAATGAAAGGCCATTAAGTTTTGTAGCTTTATATAAAAATATAGTTAATATTTCATAAGTAGAGACAAGAGCGGTAGAGAGAAGCGGTAAACTTTCATTAAGCAGGCTTCTTCGCTGCGGGGGAATCTCTCTGCCCCTCGCTTGTTTTCATCACTTTTATTGCAACAATATAGATATCTTTCTCATTCCAACCCGTCCTAATTTCCGCCTCTCTCGTTCACACTTCCCGGGTCTGTTTTTTTTATATATATATAGTAATAAAAACATACGAGATCTTTTTTAAATGCACTATTACTTATCCAAGCCTTTTCATATTGTACCATCACAGGCACTTTAGAGCCGTTATAAAAGAGAATCATTTATTATTCAAAAGTAACGGTCTTTTGCATATTGTCAGAGCACCTCTCGCTGCCTGCCAGACTCCCTTTCAAAATGCTCGGGAAAATTGATAACAGCAGACACACGCAATAAAAACAGGGCCCCGGGCGAGGACACGGACCCCCAATATGCAGATCAAGTCATTCTTCCAACAATTCGCTGGCTCGCGTTCTTTTATTTCCTTTCATGAGCTGTGCAGGGGCTTTAATGCATTTAATTTATTTCACCTATCACTTTGATCCCAGATCAGCCACAAGGTCCCTGCGTGGGTGTCCGTACCTATTCACTCATATCCTCACGGGGCTTAAAGGTCTGACTCCAGGGTTGTATAGCGCAAAAGATCCAACACAGGACAACAAGTAATAAAGAAAAATCAATGTTACGTCACAGTTAAATTTAAAATTATTAATAGTCATCATATTTAACGCGTACCGCGGAGAAGAAAACGAATATATTGATGGATATTTATCAAGCTGATCGTACTAAGTACTAAGCATTCAGTTCTACTGATCCGTGCCCAGATTGCTGTAGCCTGCTTTGAAATTGCACACTCATTCGATTTAATTTTATTCCATAGAAATAACTCAATATATGTTATTATTTTCTAAATAGAATAAAAATGTACATTTGCGAGGTTAGTGGTCGACATAGCCGGTATAATTGCAGTCGTACATCTATTTACTGCACATCAGTAACATTTTTTCACTGTGCATATCATACAAGATCGATATCGTTCTGTGCAAACGATTCGTGCGCAGACACGAAGTCTCAAGAAGTTATTAGCGACCGCTTTGAATTTAAATAAAAGAAACGCATATCGCGCAACTGACATGTGACATCTTCAGTTATCCTGTTAGGTTTGATTTTGAAGTAACAGCCGATGTTATTCTGCAACTTTATATTTAGCTAGATTGTTGATTATTATTATTATTATTTTTCCTTGTGTTGTCATCCGCAAATCATGCTAATTAGTTTAGAAAGCTCGTATTCAAAACGACTTATGAGACTGACGTAATACGAGCAACACAGGCACTGAAACAGTGTCTGTGTGAATAATTTATTAGGAAGTACAGTGCTGTATTACACATATTTATACGTCGCTTTACATATTACTATACAGTAGTGTCGTTTATTCAACGATCATAATGCCACATGATAAAGTGACTACATTTCAAATGAGGCATTTCGCTTCAGCATAATTCTGGAATGGCAACTAATTCCAACTAGGTCGTTATTAACGCGTGCATCGCTTCTAAAGCGGAACTCGTTGTATCGTCTCTTTTTCATTCTCCGGACATACACACCAACATTTTCCCGCTGTTTGCTATGAGCTCAAATCCAACTGAAATCCATTTGGACTGTCGGCAGTTATAATAATAGGCCGTTTAACGAACTGGTGCTGGCTCAGTCAACCTTTCTATGAAGGTAATATTAGTATCTTACACCAACTATTGCCGATTTGTTGGGAAATCCTGCATCATTAAATAAATCTGAATTAAAGTCACTTAAATGCCAGTAGCCTATATATATATATATGTGTGTGTGTGTGTGTGTGTGTGTGTGTGTGTATATATATATATATATATATATATATATATATATATATATATATATATATATATATATATATATACTCCCTACTACATCANATATATATATATATATATATACTCCCTACTACATCAAAACTTCCAAAATATGTCAGTAGGCCGCTTATCATACTTATAGCAAATACGGCTCTGTACATCTTAAGCAGTTATGGAAGATGGATGGATGGATGGATGGATAGATGGATGGGTGGATGCTTATCAAAATTTTATATATCTGAAGCCTTTCATCTTCCATGGTACATGGTATATAGCTCAGTGTGTGTGGGGCTCACAGGTCCTTCATATACCTTGGTGTTCCTCCCGCAGTGCTAAGACTTGCGGTCAGGCTAATTTGCCCACAGGTCCAGGTCTGTTACATTATTATGGGTGCATGTGTTTATGTGTGTATGCCCTGAAAATGAGTGGCACCCTATCCAGGACACAGCTCAGCCCTGGGCTCTGCACAGCCTATGGGTAGGACGCAATGACCAGGTAAGCAGTTGGATGACAAATGGGGATTTTAAACTTGTAATTTTTATTTTGGGTCTGAGTCATATAAGAACTCTGTCATTAACTTCATTGGTGCTTCAAATTTTCAAGCAGCATACGCAGTGTGTTAAAGTTATTTAATGCACATCAGGAATATCTGAATGAGCCTAATTAATCAAAATATGTAAATCTGAAAACATAATGTATATTTAACGAGGTAGCATTTCTGTTGCATTCTTCATTGAAATGTACAGTGATACTATATTCACTTATTATTGAAATTATCCATCAAGTTTACTAACAATTAAAACACTCAACGCATCGAACGGCCGTGGGTTCTTCTTGCTTTTTCCTGTTTTTCTTTACTCCTCAGAAAGTTTTAAAAATCGTTAACTGGGCAGGTGGACACAGATCGCCGCAGGACGAAAGGTTCAGTGACGAGTACTAAAGGGTGACGTAACGGTCTAGGCTCGTGCCTTCCCCGCCCCTAAGGACTGAAGCTTTTAAGCATCGGCGCTAATGGTCTATTAAACTATCAAGTACTTCAACGTAAACGGATTTGCTCCCCTCCAACTTCAGTTCCCTGGAGGTAATCAAACGTGGCGGATTGGCCAAAGGGCTGTAATCGCCTTTAAGCGGCGGATTACAAGGAACCACTTAGATCCGCTGTCCACAGATAGTGTTTCCCGTAGCTCTTATTGCATTAAACCATGGAGTGGAAATTGCGTTACCCGCACAAACAAACAGGGAGTCTCTAACATTCTCGACCACTATCACTACAGTCAAATTTTTACATGCATTCCACGACTAAACATTAGCAATGTCCATGTAGGCCTATGATAAAACAAATCATAATTTTTTAACACGTCTTTTATGATGCTTACAAATCGAAGAGATGTTCGAAAAAATCTGAATGTGAATTTGTTGTGCGCGCGATATTAGATATTTAAATTAAAATAACGAGTAGCATTCGTTCATTATCTAGCAACGCTGTAGTTTCTCTTTCACCGAAGCAAACGTTCAGGTTTGAAGAAGTTTGGTGACGACTTAATTTATTGACCTTGTGGCAGCCTAGCTATAGGCTACAAGATAGACTAATGGTGCATTCGAGTACCTGCATAATAAGTATTCGAAACAAAAAACATTCATTAGTTGATTTCACAAGCAAATAAGAGAGAATAAGTCGTTTTATTTATAAAATCTGTAAAATATTTCCATATCCAGAGAAAACAATAAACCACAATTTCTCCATTTGTATTAAGATTGTTCTCCTTACACACTGGTAACCTTAGCGTACCGAAAAAATAACGATCAGTAGTATAGCGCTCAAATAAACAAATACTTAGCAGATAATGTAGATTTGCATTCATTACATATAGTATTTAGAATTCATTCGTATTTACGTGACTATGGTTTTTATGTATTAAACATGACGTTAAATATGGTACTAGTATATATAGTAGGTAGAAGATCTCACTAAAGGGAGCGCAAATCGACCTTGACTTTGAAATCACGCGAGTTTCAGAGGTGTCGGTATAGAAAGCCCCTTCCCCCCCAGACTAAAGTTAAAAAATATATAATCATAATAAAGTTATTAAAATATAAAATACCAATTTTAAAATGTAAGAGGGTATTTTCGTTAATATTTTAAGTGTAACGCAAATTAAACTGATAAAAGAACACAGGCCTATTTAACAAACAACAAAACAATCGTATAAATAGCCTGAATATGATTCGATACAAAATTTTATTAAAGAAAATACGATTGCGTGGATGTCGTGAAGTGCCAGTTGCAAATCGACGTCTTTTATTGGTCAACATAGCCCCGTTTCTTACCAAGAATCAATAAACAAAATATTATATACATAAAAACAAATAATGAAAGATCATTGTCCAAAGATAATTAAGATGACCTGGACACATCCATAATTTAAGTAGCCTATTTTAATATTCAAAAATTCGTATATCTAGATGAACTGCTTGCAAGATTATGAACCATGTGTATCCGTGGTTTAAATTACTTACAAATAATTCGAAAACAGCAACGTAATAAAATCAGACCAAATACAAACTGCAAAAGAAGAGAGGAATATTATATTAACGGTCATTCCGAAAGCTGTCTAATAACCATTACTACCGCTGTAAAAGTAAAACGACTATAATGTCTAACGCTCAGGAACTGTTTCCTATTATATAATTGATGTTTTAATAATACTAAGTTCACAATATGTTGCAGCTCGATTGGACAGTCTGGAGTTTAATGAATTTGCTTTGTGCTTTTTAAAATATGATGTCACTTCAAAACGTTCCCTCAGCTGGTATTTGCTTTCGCTAGTTAATGTTTAAATGCCAGCCAATAGGGTGAATGAGGGTTTTCGTCGAACCAATGGAAAGACTGGATTGTGAAACACAACTGTGGGGTACAGGGTGTCGGGGAGAACGCTATCCCGTGCAGAGCCATCTGACCCACAGAGCCAAATCCGCCTGCCAAACTTTCACTGGCGTCTCCGACCCGCAGATGGATGGGTCTGTCAGCGTTGCCAAAAATCCGTTCTGTACTTTCAGACAAATAACTCGAAATTGATCTCAATTAAGAGAGCAAGGTCCCCGACGAGTGAACGCCGGTATTTGCACGTCTTCATTCTTTTCCTATTCCGTTCCCCACTGTTTTTTTTTGTCGTACACCAAACTCTGGCTAACCGCACTTGTTCTCAATAGAGAAGCGCTGGTAGCGGACGGGGAGTAAGGATGGAGCCGACCCCGAGCAGCAGCCCCAGCGACCCCAGCCAGGCCCCCCAAGCCGCCCAGCACGAACCCATCAGCTTCGGCATTGACCAGATACTGAGTGGTTCTGACCCAGAGAGTTCTCAGCAGAACGGCACCAAGAACATTTCGGATACCGGCGGCAGTTACCATCTGGGCAGCCCTACCGGAGCCAGCACGGCACCTTACACAGCGCTCGCCGCTTCTTATCACGGCATTACTGCATCTTTGGAGGACTCCGGCTCTTACAGCGTGAACCTAACTCTCGCCCCCGGTGGTGTAATCCGTGTCCCGGCACACAGACCGATGGCCGCTGCGGTTCCACCGCCTATGACCAGTGCGGTTCCTGGTTTCGGCAGCCTCAGTTTTCCGTGGATGGAGAGCAGTCATAGATTCGCCAAGGAGAAGTTTGCAGGTACACTGGTGAAACTAGTTCAGATGTATTAACCAAAAGCATGCAAATGCAATTAAATTACAAAAATGAAAATATTATAAGTAGCCTATATAATAATAACAACCTATTTTTGATCATTCTTAAACTGCACTCGAGATGTCATGCGAGATCTGTCGAACCGGTAAACGAATTACAGATATAGAAGGCATACAGAAAACGCAAAACTATAAAACCGAATCTACGGCGCGCGAGGTTTTTCGATTTATGGTTGCTGGATAGAAAGGAGATAAATTCACAGCATTCTGCTTCGCTTAACGCTGACTTCCGCATGCAGTAGCAAGAAGATTTTCTCTAGTTTTCAGATATGCTAGCCTAAAATATAATTAAAATGGCTTGCTGCTTTTAGAGGGAAATAACTAGTAACTTATATTTATATTTACAACTAACGTCAGAGCTTTCGGGTAACGTTACGATGCAATTGTTCTAAAATCTTTTAGATTTGAAGTGTATATGTTTTAATAAAAAAATAAATGTATTTGCTCTAAGTAATTTATAGTTTTATGAATTAAAAATCCAAATAACAGCTTTATTGTTTTAATTACACCACAAAAGCAAGAAAATTACAAATCCGATGCAATGTGTAATACAATAACCGTAGAATTATGGTACATTTCATATTAAAACAGTGAATGATAATTGAGACGTAAAAATAATTGAAGAGCGAATTAGTTCATTTGTAACCAAAATAATAAATTGAATAATGTAAGTTACAGTCGATTTAATGTAATAATAAAAGTCCGTTGCTATACATCAACGCTCTTCTTATACGCTATTGCAGTTTTATTATGGAAAATGAAATTGTCTCAGGGAACACGAGTGTAATGTGCGCCTTTTCTCTTTACATCAATGCATTTTAAATGATGAGTAAATAACGGGCATAGCCGGCTACACTCTTCATTCTGTGCCAGTACTGCGAAGCGCGCGGATGACCAGTGTGTAATCCAGCTGCGCGTATTTAAAACGCAGTGACCCGTGTGTAATCCAGCTGCGCGTATTTAAAACGCAGTGACCCGTGTGTATAGGGAGGATAAGTGATGCATTCATATCAAAAAGAAAAAAGGGTTCAAAACATAAACTTTTAGCATTTTAATTGCCTCATAAATTCATTGAAAACTGAGAACTTAAGGAAAAAACACAGCGTGTAAAATCCATTTTAAATAACAACATTAATAATAATGACAAGAACAACAACAATAAATAATAAAATAATAATAATAATGAGCACAAATGGGAATCAATAATGATATTAAGCTGTATTGTAGTGACAAAACTAGCTCCGCCTGAATTCATGAAAAATACTCTTGTGGTGTTTTTACATAAAGTAACAAATTACAAATAATATTTTAAGTTTTCCATTTTGTCGTTGAACATGCAATGCGAATAAAGCCACTGAGGAATGTGATTAATCTATTTTGCTTTCCTTTTAAAACACCGACTATATCAGGTAATTCGATCCAGTGCAGCAGTCTGCTCAGTCCGCTGGCAGCCAGACTAAGGAGCGAAATTAGCCACTAAAATCAATAAAGAGCAAATAAATAAATGTATATCGTAATATAATATTTAAAGAACATTTTAAATTGCCGTTTGTGTATGTGTATATAATCAATCAATATATTCCATTCCGATCTTTGTACCTGTTTGTGTAGTATGTATAATTCTTACTAGGAATTCACTGAGAATTTACTCACACATGAACAGTTGTATTGGCAGAGAACCAAAGCACATTAACTGTACGTCAGCAGTCGATAGGTACGCGCTGTCAGGCTGCTCCGCGAAATATTGACCTACTAGGAGCCCTTTACGTGGACGCGCGGTAATGACATCAATATCTATTACCAGACTGTAGAAGCGTCCACACTTGGCTGCAAGGTTAAGCACATTTTTGTGCGTGTGTGTGTGTATATATATATGTATGTATGTAAGTACATTCACACTGGAAAGACTGGGATGATAAATGTCTGTGTGTGTATGTATGTAAGTGTGTGTGTGTGTGTGTGTGTGTGTATATATATATATATATATATATATATATATATATATATATATACACTTACATACATACACACACAGACATTTATCATCCCATACTTATTCATCATTTAAATAAGTAATCATTGCGTGCCTTTTAGATATTAACTAGCCCAAAATTAGCCAAACACGTGTATATATGGTATATAGTCCAGGTATAATCCTCATAAAAATGATACAATTCGTTGCAAATAGATAATATAATAGTAATATTATATAATTATAACATAGCTGCTTTTTTTTTCCTTTTTGGTTATGCATAACCTATATTGAAGCATTTCGGATAGTAACACTTACGTCGTTTTGAGGTCCATATCACGTCTACTGAGAAATACCCTTTAGAATCACTGATCGTGCATTCAGATGATAAGGCACCAGGAAAACAGCGGAAGCGGTATTATATGGCGACAACGCAGCATATATCACGATTTCATACTATTTCTTCGGTATTGCTGAAATGTGTCCCTACGAGCCCAGTATTTACTGCTGAAGAGTATTTATAGCTTGTGCATAAAGGGAATTTTTACGAGGTCATATATTTTGTATTAAAGACAGCCGCTAATATTTATCGCCAAGTTTATTTACACGTTGATGTTGTTTCTAATTTAATGCTCCAAGTCAAACTTACCTGTTAAAAATAACATCGTTTAAATAGTGCATAACACGAGGTAACATCAGCAAGCTTTGATACTTCAATGCCTTAGTCAAAGTTTAGAGAAGAACATAGCACCTTAATAGAATCAGTCGTTAACTCCTTTGTTATTATATGATTAAAAAACCCAATTAGGTTAACGCCAAATTTGTTGCAAATGCTATACAAACACATTACCTGAGGTATCGTTTTGCAAACAAAATTAATTACTTTAATATTACGTTTTTTTGTGTTTTTTTTTTTTTGTAAATCTATTATTACAAAAATTAGCAAAAGATAGAAATGAAGATGCAGGAAAAGGCAGATTACCGTTTTTGAATTATTGTGTAGATACTTAGCTGAATCTTCTACCGGAGTCGATTTAAACTGCTTACAGCTTTCCTGCTTTACCTACACGCAGGTATGTTTTCCCAAAGCACTGAATCAGGTTATCTGCCATGCTGAAGATGTAAAATGTTAGACCTGTTGGATACCTTCTCCTAGGCCAGATAGCAAGCTATAAAATACAGGTAAATAAAAATAAGAATTGTATTCGCTTCAGTTAAGTTAGCTATGGAGATAAAATAATAAAAGAAAGTGCTAAAAGAAGAGCAGTGTCAACACAGATGTGAGGAAGAGGAGGAGACTTGGTGGAACAGCTGGAAAAATAAGCACTTACCCATCATTCCGTCTGCCCCCTTCTGCCTGTCCCCACCTGCTGTTCTGCAGCGGCCCTAACCCCGTTCGCCGTGTCACGGAGGATCGGCCACCCATATCAGAATCGCACGCCACCCAAGCGAAAGAAGCCGCGCACATCCTTCTCGCGCGTGCAGATCTGTGAGCTGGAGAAGCGCTTCCACCGGCAGAAATACCTGGCCAGCGCGGAGCGGGCCGCTCTGGCCAAGACGCTCAAGATGACGGACGCCCAGGTCAAAACCTGGTTCCAGAACCGCAGGACCAAGTGGAGGTGAGTGAGATAGATTTAAAAAAAAAAACGATGGGCAAATGAGAGAATTTACAGCAACGATTCCAATCTGTCAAACAGGTAAAAACAAAGTGCTCAGTGTAGCATAACTGAAACCAGAGTCACAACAGTCCTGGATCACATTTGTAGCCCAGCAAATATTGCCTAAACAACGGCGCAGTACTTCTTCTCTAATGCGAAGATACCTTCAGTCTTAGGACTGGATCACCCATCTGGGACGCCATAGCTAAAAAGCACTGTGCACTCGACTGTAACTCTGCATAACGCAACCGAAATGAGCCCAGCAGCAGAAGCTACAGTCACTATGATCAGTCTGAGTAAAAATCGGAGATGTGGAACTTTTCATTCCATAACACTCTGAAGATTACTGATGACGTGTATATTCTAGGTAATGCAACTAACTTAGTTTGTTTTTTAAAAAATATTAGTGGTATTTGCGAATTGCATAGTAAATTGTTTTACCATGGTTTCCTCAATTTACCGTATACTGGATAAGTAGTTGAAAGATGGATAGATAGATAGATAGATAGATAGATAGATAGATAGATAGATAGATAGATAATTGCAGCTTTAAACCTGCAGACAGCTGCCAGTGTATGTATGGACAGCCAGTAGGCTAGCACTTGTAAAGCTGTGACTTCGCCTAATCATTATCATAATCATCTCCTGGTCAGGGTTACAGGGGTCATGGGGCCAATCCCAAGCAGAACAGGCTCCAGGCAGGGGTACACCATGGTGGGGGGGGGGGGGGGGCTTACACACCCTGTGGGCAATTTAGAGACACCAGTTAGCCTGGATTAATTTCTTTGGGCAGTGGGAGAAAATGTCAGCATCAGGAGGAATCCCACGCGACAGGTGGAGACCAGGCAAACCACACACACACACACACACACACACACACACACACACACACATACACGTTTGTATGCACATCCATTTATTTCTACAGAGAAAACAAAACACAAATCTCAACTGTAACAACCTTAACCCATACCCAGTCCTAACCTTAACCATAAGTAACCAAAAAAATACTTTTGGCATTTTTAGTTTTTTGATTGCAGACTCGGATTTTTGTAAAATTGAGTTTCCCCATAACGTCAAAATAACAAATTTTTATCACATTGTGGGGAAATCTGGTCCCACAATGTAATAATTACAAAAACGCTCCCCCCCTCCCCTCCACACCCAGCACTAGCGGATGAGGCAACAGGGATGCCCTACCTCCCAAAACATATAAATACATAATTGCACTAATTTAACAACATATAAACTTTGGACAGCCGTAAAGGGCATTCGTTAATACTGGATGTAATCAGTCTGCTGGTATCTGCTGCAGAGCCAGATGTACGTATGCGGTGGTTTTGCCTAGATGAAAGAATGACACGTGACCAGCCACCTTTGAACGCCTGTTAATCGTGCTAGAGTAGCGGGTAATAACGCGGGGGTAATGAGCCCACTAGGACCCTGGTCTCCTAAAACTGAACAAAATAAACAAACAAACAAATTAAAATATATTGTTTGAAAGATATACCTGCCTGCATGGGCTATCCCTCCGTGGCTTACCTATGTTTACTAACGATTTTTCATGTGTAGCCTACGAGGTCCTTTTTGGGCAAATATTACAGCATATCTCATAATTCTAAACAAATTGCGTTAGTGTTGCATTTCATTTGAACCCACTGCAAGACAAAATAATTATGCAATATTTACTTGAGTGATCACTTCCACCCGAATAGAATTGTCGATGTTAATAAACTTCCCGTCACAATTAATAACCGGTGCGTTTTGAACAGGTAGAATTGAAAGTGAATAGACAAATTGCATTTCCCAGATAAGCGTAATAGGCTTGGCTGTATGACAAGCGCAACTGGTGCAGCCGTCAATTACGACAAGTCTGTTTATGCTGGAAACGTGCGGCTTTCAGTATTGATAAGAACGAACAAATGGCCCATAGAGACTTGTCACTGAATAATAAAAATATTTTAACAATAGTTTCCTTTAAAATATAAACGCACTTAAATGTATAAATTATTTTGTCTTGGGGTTTATTTTCTTCCATCTATTACGCTTTGATTAATAGGCCTATGTGATTTTAAACATCGAAAGACTGCGTCTAATGGGATATTTGAAACTGAAAATAAAGTCTTTGTGCAGTGTCACTAATCATACTATCTCAGACCGTTTTTTGCAATTTGCATCCGTGAAACACTCATAAGAGAAGGTATTAACGCATCTGTGACATTTCATCTTCATATACGGTCAGTGTAAAGGTTTATTTTTTTATCATATAGGCCTCATAGCGAAAGATGCCGCGCGACAAACTATTGACTAAAGGCGCTGTTGAAATTACCTTGTATTTATGTGTGCCATGTAAATGTGGACGGGTCCTTTTGTTTCACTATGCGTAAAGTTTCTGCGGGCTTCGCTTCTCGCAGGTGTTATTAAGTGAAGTAAAGTACAAAGTGACTGAGGCAGCTAAGAACCCAAATTAATTAGGCCTACTTTAGGGCACAGTTATTTGCGGTGGAAAATTCACGGCTAATTATAAATATATATGTTCACAGTCATGGGCGTAAATTACGGGGGGATGGGGGGTTGTAGCCCCCCCAATAAATCAAAACCAGCTAATACAACCCCCCAATAATCATGATTCCCCTGTAATGGGTGGAGACCTGAACCCCCCCAATGTTCCAGCCACAGTTATACCCTTGTTCACAGTGATTAGTAATCTTGCAGTGATCTGTGTATCACTGGGTTGTATTTTATATTAAAGTAACGGTATGACTTCTAGCTTGAGTTATTTGCGTAAATCTTTTGCCTGTGAATGGGTTGCACTCTTGTTCATATTTAGACTAATTAACGAGTCTGTCACTCGCTTTCATTTATAATTAAAATCACAAAAAACTGCGATTTCAACTAATTTGATGCTTTGCGTTGAATACATCATAATTCTGTTATGATAAATAAGGGGATAAGAAAACTACTTGGACCAACACGTATTTCATCTTGTTAAAACTTTACAAGGTGAAACAGAAATTGGTCAATTTAATTAATAGTATTGAAGCAAGCAAACCGTACAACATGACTTCAAAACTTTTTAAACATAATTTGTAGCTATTTAAATTTTAAACCTGTTAATGATAATATTTGAAGGAGGAATAAAATAACACCCCAGGTGTAGCGTTAGTAACAGAAGCTGGTTTGAATACAGAAGAGCTGCATTGTGTACAGCCGGGTTACCGGCTCTCACGCATCTGGCGTGACGCTTTCAGATACTCACGCTCATGCAAGGAATCTTTCGGCAAATCTAATTATTCCATTATAAACCTAAAATTAGCTCATAAAAAGCGTTGGGGTAGTTTGCAAAGCCTACAGACTATTTACAAGGTAATAAAACTGTTACATATATGTATGTGCAAACTTGTCTCAAATTGAAAATCTCATCTCAAAGTTGGGCAACTCTGGTTACAGTTACAAGCTGCCAGAAATGTTGCTCCTATTTGATTTGTGTTCTAATGAAGGAAACATTTACTGGGTTTGAATTTTTTTTTTATAATTGCCCACTTCTGGCTCGCATGTGATTCCCCTTCTTCCTTTGTATCTCACTGTAGCTTTCTGCACGCCTTTTCCCACTTACTGTTTGTTAATATATCTCTGCCTGCTCCTTTTTCACTGTTAGCTTGTCTCCTTGGGTCTTGTCCTGTTTCTTTTTTGTCTCGGCCTCTGATTGCCTTCTCTGACTGTAACCCTGTTGCCAGGCGACAGACGGCGGAAGAGCGGGAGGCGGAGCGTCAGCAGGCCAATCGCCTGATGATTCAGCTGCAGCATGATGCCTTCCAGAAGTCCCTCAGCGACTCTATACCCCCTGACCCACTCTGTATTCACAACTCCTCCCTCTTTGCCCTCCAGAACTTGCAGCCCTGGGCCGCTGAAGAGGGGAGCAAGCTGGGAGGCGTTACAGCGCTGGTATGAGAGCAGGGTCGTGAGTCACATGCACTGGTAGACACTTGGCCTGATTTTTTTTTTTGCCGTTGTGGATGGATGAATCAACTGACAACAGACTTGACTCCTTGTCCCCCTTCCTTTATGTTCACCCCCCCCCCCCCCTGCGATCATGTTTAGTTCCAAAGTGGAGCAGAGGCTAAAAGATCAAAAACAATGAACTGAAAAATGTATTGTTTCAAAGCACAACATTTGCACAAATGGCTTCCCTTTCCCCCGCCCCCTGAAACAAAGGTGAAGCAGGACTTGGTGGAAGCATCCCTGTCCTCAGCAGTCAGGACAGTCCTGCCTGAGGGTGAGAGTAGGATCGCAGTGTCACTGAGATTGTTTTTTTTTTTGACTATGAGGAAGTTCACGTGACTATGAACTTCCCCAAAAAACAGCCAATAAAACAAAGGTCAGTGGCCAAATGGGGCATTCTGGAATCCTGCACAGACAGTCCTTCTGTTTCTTTCAGAACTTCAATGTCTGCAGGGCACATCCTAACATCATATTGTTCATTCTGTGGGGTGACGCTCTACTGAAGGTGTGTTGTTGGCATTAAATGTATCAGAAGGAAGACAGTGACAATGTTTACATACTGTACTTGTGAGAAAAGCATTGTGTTGTTCATTGACAGGAAAAATATCCATGCTACAAAATCATGTACTATACTTTGTATTTTACAAATATGTAAATATTTTTTCCGCAGGAAATACATCTGCTTTCTATATTGTGTCACAGTGGCTGGGTCTGTTGTCTTATTTCTTTTTAGTCCGTTTTATCCTCTAGATTCTTGTACTGACATACCCAATATTCTGGGTAGCCTGTGATTCCGATACCTGTTTGCCCTCGATTTGCCACCATAACCTGCCTCAATTAATGCAGCTGCACGACCCACCTGCAAGTCTAATGTCTATAACACTAATCACACTAATCAGTGGAGGTGCATGCTTGTGTTTTTTAGCTTTTACTCACAAAACCAGGGCTCAGACAAAGCCCCCCCCCCATTCATTGGCATTACCTTGATTGCAGCCATTTAAGTTGTATAATAGGGACGAACACTCCTTGTTCCCACAAGCTGCACACTGCACTGGCTTTTACTTAATTGCTTTATGGAAGCTCACGCACCTGTTCTGGTTGCATTTGTGCACCTCAGCAGCATCAAATAGGATTTCGCCGAAGTATTATTGAAACTGTTCACTTCGCTCACCTCTCCAGCCAATCAGCAGAGACTGGCTACAGTACGGCTGAAGCCTGGTCCAGAAGCATAGTGGAGAAGGCAGCGTGATCCAAGACAGGATGCCAATCTATGGCAGGACACACAGTCACACATTACGGGAATTTAGAGATTCCGGATCCTTTATTAAAGCACTGTTAGGATTTTTAGTCATTGAAAGACTCCAGAATGTAAATCATATCACACGATTGCAGAACAAACTTTATCTAGCACATCTGAAAAACACAGACGGAGATACTCTGCTTCTAAAGACGTAGGTCAGGGTTCCGCAATTCTGGTCCTGGAGGGCTGGTCTGTGACACATTTTGCAGATTTCCTTGTTCAGACACACCCACTAAACCTGGAATTGGCTGGTGAACCGAATAAGGTGTGTTTGAGCAGGGAATTCTGCAGACTGGCCCTCCAGGACTGGAACTGGGGAACCCTGATCTAGGTGGGTAGAGAGACATCTGGCAGTTTGATAGACAGAGCTACCAGCTGTCAAGGCAATCATTTGATTGAGCTGCTCTTTGGCCTAGATGCTCTTTGGCCTAGATGCTCTTTTTGCCTTATGCAAAAATCAGCAATGCAGCCTTTGGTTCCTGGTCAGGGCTACAAGATTCAAGCATTTAAAAATGTTCAGTTTCAATGAAATGGAATCAAACACGCAAGAGACGCTAATGGCACTTTTCCCACTGGCATCCAAGAACCGACCCATACTGCAGAGACTAATCGCAGTACAGTTCCAGCTCAACTGCAGAAGGCTCGACTCGGGAAAAGCAGGGTTTGGAGAGCAACAGCGACATGGATTTGTGAAACTGAAGAGACGCATATACACACTCTCCACACGGTGTACTTCACGATTTATTGTGTTGTAATTTTCAGTAGCACACCTGTGAGAATCACCGTGTTACCCAAGTATCAAACACTAGCAGAATTAATATCAGTTGGCATCAATGTGCAACATGAAGCCATTCCATTCAGCTGTCCTAAAGTACTTTAAGTAGGAAGCCAGACATATTCAGAGGTTCAGGAATGCAGTGTAGTTTACAATATATGCTATTCTACTAAGCAATACATTCACTGGTGGCAGTGAAAAGCACTACATTTTAAATTGCATTTTCAGTTGCACATCAATCAACATGAACCTAATCAGAGCATTAGCTCAGGTGACGTTGTTAGCCAAAAGCTAGGTAGCCCAAGCACACATACACAGGTCTTGCATGTGGCTATCAAGAATTAAACCTGCAAGCCCATGTTCCACCATATCAGGTAAAACTCGGAATTAAGGACATAGCTAAAGAAATAACACTCCCCTCTAGTGGTCAGAATGAGGTACATCAAATAAGACAAAACCCACAGCCTTTCTAAGAAGACCCCCAAGCCTTTAACTTCATGCCATTTTGAAGGGGTAACCCAGGTCCCTCTGCCCCCCCCCCCACAAATACAACCAATGGGAAGTCATCCAGTCCTTTATTGCAGCAAGTCCAAAATTACAGGAAATCCAGTAGAAGAACGGAGGGCCCAACTACTGAAAAAGGCAATGGCAGATAAACATGAAACCTAAAATTTAACCAGGGGCTGCACTAACTTGGATCTGGCCCTGAATACGACTTATAGGACTACAAATTCAAGCTGCCCAATGCATACGTATTGTAACAGGAAACCAATCCACTTATACAGAGGCAGAGCAAACCCTGCTGGCAATAGCCTCCATCAACAGGCTATAAGGGCTTGAAGTTCTGGGACGAATTGATAATCTAAACAGGAGAATGAGGTAAAAACATTATAGTTGGCATATAAAAAAAAAACAAAAAAAAAAAAACACAGAAAATCATTTTCTGTCCTTCACAGTCTGTCTCCATTTCCACAGGTCCTGAATGATCTGAAAGTCAGTTGCAAGGTTAGTTAGTTGGTCAGTTGTAAGACAACCCAACAAAAACGAGACTCACACAGCACAAGCCAGAGACAGAAACACACCTTAGGGTCGGTCACACGCAGCCCGTTCTTCAGGAAGTTCTCAAACTTGGCCTCAACATTGGGCAGCTTCACCCCCTGTGCAAATGAAAATGAGTCACCATCAAAGGGCCATCAAGCCCCACGCACGCCCTACACCAAGGGCAACCTGCTCAAGCCTGATCGACACCTCAGGCATTAATGCCACAGCACACAGACCAGACGGACCACTAACCTTCTCCACACTGGTCATCATCTTGGTCTTGAGTTCTTCCATCGACAGGGAGACTTTAGGGGTCTTGGGAGTCTGTGCTTTTTTGTCACCCCTTGCATCAGGTGTTTTTGCCTGGGGGGGGGGGGGGGGAAGGGAACGGAACCGTTTATAAATTAAGTGCTGCTTTTACATCCTGCCTGGCCAGGCCAGTGTGCACATGCAAATAGAGAAAATAGCAGCCACTATTTCACATCAAGCCTTCAGTGTTTGGGACGGGGGCAGACCTTGGCATTAGGCTTCCCCGCAGGCGTGCTAGGAGTCTTTCCATTCTGAGCAGGGGGCTGGGCCTTGGCAGGGGTCTTCTTGGGCTGGACAAGAGGGGTCAGTATTGTCGTCAACAACCACATGAGACTGTCCACTCCCTAGCTTGCTCATATCAAAGCAGAGAATCAGCCTCCGCCAGGTCACATCCATTCCCCACTGCACTAGTGAGCACCTCTGGTTCACTTCACTACACTACACTGTATTACACCTAGTCTATCTGCTCCATGGTATATTGTATGTACAGATCTGGCCATTAAAAATGCGCCTATTTTCACGCGGCAGCCTGCAATTCGGCACGCGTGATCACGGGTCTCCCTGCAAGCGCTTTTTCAGATTTTTTTAAAACGTTGTTGCGCTTCATATAATATCCACCAGGTGGTGCAAGGAACAACATTCTGTAGCCAAACACCATGGCCAGCTCTAGGGGGCGTTGGTCACAAATACCATTGTTAACAATAGTTTAATGATTCCATCTTCCCTGAAAGTATGGTTCGAACGGACATTCACAAATAGCATTGCAAACTTACGTGGTTGGAACTACAGCTCTCGACCTGTGGTTATAATCATAGTTTCTCATTAGTACGATGTTGAATTGCTAAAAAATTATGCTCTTGGGTGCAACAAACAAGCTAACATGCTGTACAATCTACCTGTACTGTATATCAGGAGTGGGGAACCTGTTTTCCTATCAAGGGCCATTTACACTTTATTGAACTAAATTATTGAACATAGATGAAAACAGATATCACTAACCTCTTTCTTTTTTAAACAATGCAGTTAGTCCCTTTTGCTGGCCAAGCATGGCTGAAGCTCAATCGGTGGCAAGGCCACTTAACTTGTCAAATGGTACAGTAATTCAAATTTGTTCATTGCCAAAACAACTTGCTCAAACAAATCATCACCTTTGGTATGGCAAGTATGTCTGTTGTTTCACCGCAGGCCAGAGAGAAAAGTGGATTTTTCCCGGTGTCATTGTTTCTCGCGCCATATCGGTAATTCATTCTGTATGTAATGGCAAGGTGTTTATAATTTCGTTTCTTTTTTAAGTTAATTTAGAAAGAAAAAAAAAAAAGTTTGGAGCATTTTTTTCGTTAAACGTAAGCTTGTTGTTTCTTAAAGTAAAGTAAAGACCAAGCGGCAGACAGTGAGTTGACCTACTCTGTTTCAATTTGCCTTCTCAAATCACAAATTGGCTAAAATAAAATCTATAGAGGTAAAATAATAGATATAAATGTGCGCTATTAGGTGCATATCCAATCATTTGTGCGGAGTGAAAGGTAAAACACGTTTTTCGGACATGAAGACGCAAGCGCGATCAGAAATTCATTATAAATTTCAACATTTTAAAGCAACATCAAATGAAGATATGCATGTTTGAGAGGCAGCTCATCTTTTTCATACCATATATACAATTTTAGATACACTTGATTTGATTGATTTGGGTAGAGAGGAGAAATATAAACTAGTTTAGGAGTGTTAATTTATTTTATGTATTATCATCATCATCATCATTATTATTAATAGTAGTAGTACAGTCGAACTTCGTCACAACATACCTCAGGGGACATTAAGAATTTGTACGTTATAACCAAGTCCCTCAAAATGAATGATAGAACACAAAATGTATATAAAAAAAAACATTTATAAAAACACCCCTCAAGTTGACACTATGACATACAGCTTGTGTAGTTTGAAGAATATAATTCCTATTCTAAATAGGAACTATATTCTTCAAATTGTGTTATCAGTTACTCATAGACAGCCGACATAAGCCGGCAGTGGATTTTGCGTTATCGTTCAAATCGCCTTACTGTAACCTAATGTCAAACCGAAATTATACACCTGTATATGATTCAATTGGCTGAAATAAATCGATACCATGACACCATGCAAAACCATGAAAAAACGGGGGCTGCATGCAAGGAGTCCGGCCGGCGTGGAATGCTTCGTGAGGATAGGTTCATACAGTTAGGTGTCGCTAAGCGATGTAGATGGCCGGCAACAGCCGATTCTGAATTGTGCGCGCGCTCGGAAGATGAGGCTGTATGTTGTAACGAAGGTCAGCTTGCCTATTTTCCTCTGAAAATCCTATTGGGTCGCGGGGGGTCCGGAGCCTATCCCGGAAGCAACGGGCACGAGGTAGGGAACAACCCTGGACAGGGGGCCAGCCCATCACAGGGCACACTCACACACCATTCACTCATACACGCACACCTAAGGGCAATTTAGTATCCCCAATTAGCCTCAGCATATCACAGAGACTCGAACCCGGGTCCCAGAGGTGTGAGGCAACAGTGCTAACCACTATATCCTAATATTGAAAATAATTTAGACAAAAACAGAAGGCTCACTTTTCAAAACAATGAAGTTTTTAGTATATGACTGACAACGAATACAACTGTTAAGTATCAAAAGTGCTCCAGTGAGTTCTGCAAGTTTTTTTTCTTTTTTCTTAAAAAAGTGGAAAAGTTGTTCTTCTATTTCGGAGAAGTTCGTTAAGTCTGTCTCTTATCAGCTTCCAGTCACGAACTGCGGGGTTGAATCTCCGACCAACAGCATCTGAAAGTGCTTGACGAAGGTTGTTGGGTAGTGCATTTTTCCCCCTGGAGCCGTCAAAGTTAACAGAACCTGCCCAGTTCTGATAAAGGTTGAGAGGAATTAACCTTTTAAACAAAAGAACAGCGAAACGATCTGCCCTTGGTTTCCCGTCTGGTCCTGTTGAGTCCAGATACAGTTTATTCTCTGCCTCTACTGAAACATGATTTAAAAGTACATCTGGAAGGATTACCCCCTGCATGAGAGATCGGCGATTATGATGAGAACGGGAGGTGTTTCTTGGTGTTTCAGGCAAACTCAAATGGAATGATGTCGTCACGGAAGGAGGAGAAAATGCTGAATAATCTTGATTCGGCGAATTTTCACTATGGAGCATCGAATTCGTCACCACTGGGTTGTTGGTTAATCCTACAGATGCTGAGCCCGCTAACGAATGATCTGGACTGGTTTTTAGGTTGAGAGTCCGGACAGCTAATAGTGTAGAGGCTGCAGAAGGAACACCAAAATCAGCATTACCCAGGAGCGCTGACAGCGAATGGTCTTCGTGAGCAGACTGAGGAGATGACCACATCTTAAAAGACTGTTGGTAGTCCATTTGAGTACCCACAGACATTGAAGGAACAACGGATGGATCTGTGGATGTGGATTGATCTGCTGTCAGAGGATGAGTTCTCTCACTGAAATGTGCCTCCAAAAAACCAATCCTTGCCTCTAAATTCAGAAGCCGCCTTGTGAATTCTGATATCTGTTCCTTGGAAACAGTGACTGCAGCAGGACATCTACGTTCAATTAGAGTAGCCTGCAGGTGGCAACATTAAAATTAGTTGTGAATATGATGTCCACACCGCAGACAGGTATATGAAGTTACACTGCACATGACGCTGCTTGCCTAATAATAAATTAGCAAATACTAGAGCTGGACGATAAATCGATTTAATCGATCAATTCGAATTTACAGTTCAGGACGACGTGTTTTCATGAAAATGAAACGTTTTTGAACTATGTGCCATATGATAAGAATCGGGCACGATGGAAGGCGATAGCAAATGCTGTCGCGATGCATAATGCAAAAGACATGGTGCCCATACATACTGTGGAAAAACTGGGATTCATTAACATGCAAAAAGTTTTAGACCCGAAGTACGTGCCTCATTTTTCTTAACACTGGCAATTTTTCAAAAGCTTTCTTTTGCACTATGTCAAGCCCAATGGCATAAAGTATTTACTGAATACCAAGCTGACATGATAAAATTGTGTTTTTTTCTATTATTACAATATTACTTATTACTTTTCTTTATAAGTTTGAGGGAGTATTGTGTTGTTGCCAGTTTGAAAATAAGCTATAGAGAAAGCTTTCTAAAAGTTTTTACAAGTTACTAAAAATGTTTACAATGGCGTGGTCTGCCATCTCACTTACAAGCATCTTTTATGGCTTGTCAGATTGCAACTTTAACCCTAAAGTAGAAAAAGCTAAATAAAGTTAAAACTTGTTTTGAACCATTTTTGTCATCTGTAGTTTGATTTTGAGTAGGGGAACGGAAAATCGATTAAAATCGGAAACTGGATTTTTTGGGGAAAAAGTCGGAGATTTTATTTCTAGGCCATATCGCACAGCTCTAGCAAATACCCACCGATGTCTTTTTTACATGCCGGGTAGTCCCCGTTTTATTTTTGGTCTGTGGGCTCTGCTTATTCTCTTTGCCAGAATTCTATTGAAACAATATGCATGATGGTTAGCACACAGCTGAACGTACAAAAAAATTTAAGGAAGCGTTAGGCAAAAAACATCGTAAATTATAGCCTACATACCTTTCGCTTGCTGCTCCAAGTGTAAGCGCTCTTCTTTGAATAAAATGCTGTAGCCTGAATTTCTTTCTCACACAGTTAATACAAATGCATGCAGTGACAATTTGATAGGTCTATTTTATCAGTTGCTCACTCGCATTTAAAAGACAGTAAAACGGCATGGGTGGCACTAGGGAGGAGCTATCAGGTGCTATATAGGGTGAAATGTTTATGAATAGCAGAATGGGGGTGGGGGGGCTGAATGCTGTCTGTTGCCTTGTAATCAACATATTATTGGAGACTCTTTGGGGGGGGGGGATTCCGACTGTCTAGCATTCAGTTTCATTTCGGATTCAGCATTCAAATGCATGCCAGGGAAAAGGGGAAAGCTTTCCTCACACGCTCCACCAACAGTATGACGCACCCTCTTTTCACAGAACATTAGTGTCCACACCCTTGACACACTGTACGGATAAATACAGTCCATCCACATGTAAAGTCATCTAACAATGACTTTACATGTGCATTCCCAAGACATCAGGGTGATGAGGTCTGCTGGAAGTTCTACTCAAGAAATATCCCGACATCTGAAATCCATTGGGGTACACGCTACATTGAGCACTATCAGAAGACATTACAAAGAACGAGCATCACACAAACGTAATCCTCGCAAAATAACCGAGTAAGTTACCCACTGCATGACGCGAACACAAACACTAGCCTAAATACTGGCTAATGCTAAGTGGTGGTTATGCATAAACTGTCAAATGTTTAACTATTTTCTGTTTTGCCCTTGATTTTAGGGACATTGTCATATCCATATCACTCATCAGAATGATGAACTGGTGTCATGTTCCGTGAAAAAACAGCTATGGCGTGACAGCGGAGTGGAAATAAGCGAGCGATCCATTCGGAGGATAAGGCAAAAGCTTAGGTGGAAGTATGGGAAAACTCAACATTGTCCCATGATCAGAGACAAAAATAAAGAGTCACGTCTCCAACATGCCCACAAATGGATTGCTGAGAAGGAGTAATTTCACAATGTCATTTTCACTGATGAAACAGTGGCTTTGGACCGCTTTGCCACCATGTCATTTCGTAAGAGTGGGAGACATGTGTCTAAACCAAAGCCAAAGCACCCGCTAAAAGTTCATGTTTGGGGAGCAATATCCAGACTGGGTCCGGGACCGATTGCAATATTCGAAGGCATAATGGACCGGTCTTTCTTTGAAAATGCTATTGTAACAGAAACTGCTGCCCCATACATTAGGGAAAACTTCGGAGCACGTCACTGTTTTTTCCAGGACAATGACCCGAAGCACACTGCTGCAGGCAGACTCATTGCTGAAGAGGGTATAAACTGGGTTAAGACTCCCGCCGAATCCCCCGACATGAATCCCATTGAAATGGTGTGGCATGCTCTGAAAGATTATATTCGAAAGGTAGCAAAACCAACTACAAAGTCTGACTTAATTGCTGCCATAAATAAATTCTGGTTCGAGGAACTTACAGCAATGGCATGCAACAAGTACATAAACAGATTGTTTAAAGTTCTTCCGGCTGTGGTGGAGCGTCAGGGTGGACATACTGGAATGTAACAATGTCTAAAGTTGTTTAAAAATGTCTAAGCATTGGCAAAACTAAAATGAAAATATACTGTACATTTCTGATCACTTGAATGAATAAGTTTTTTTGGCATTGTTGTTGTTGAGAATCTGCCGTTATCAAAAACATAAAATAATGATAAAAATAATAAAAACAACGTGTCCCGTTGTAAAGTTGTTGCCGTATTGTGTACAAAGATGTAGCAATATGAGATCCTAATAGTCTATTTTGAGAATAAAGGCATAGCATTATGTGCGTTTGAGTAGCATATTGAAACAAAAATCTAAGAAAAAAATAGAGAAAACGGTGGTCGATGCTGGTGTATGACGATTGAGATCGCAATGGCCTTCAGAAGTTAAATTAAAAAGTGCAGAGCATTGTAATTGTATGTTGGCCTATTCTTGTGATTCATAAAATATTACTGCGCAACTAACAAGTAACAGCGCAGATATTCCTTGCTTTTTGGACTTTGCACCCTAGCAATACCTTATGGCTTTCACAACCCTTCAAATTACAAGATCTAACCTCACAAATGTTAATGAGAGGGGGTCGTCCCTGTCACTTTTAAACGTGCCAATTCACCTTTCACCTCCCCCCACCCTATGAATAAAGGAGAGAAGAGCAGGCTTGGCTCTGGGGGGGTTAAAATGTTATTCAAGATATTTTAAATTAATTTTGGTCAAAAATACTACTTACAGGCCTAATCACAGTGAGGTGGTGCTCATGCTGAATGGCACAGACTGTATGGCTATTTAAATTGAGCAGTGCAACGTTTTATATGTTCCTTTAACTATATTTGATTTTGATAATGAACAGGTTGTCAAGTTAGCAAAATATATTGCGTGTACCGGAGCCTGCGTGATCACGGCATTTTTTAGCCTTCTATGAGAAGAGACGGTTACTCTAATTTATGGTCATACAGACAGAAGCTAAACATAATTCAAAACTGTAAAGTATTTCGCAAAATATATTTTTTTCTGTTTTATACCATTTCATTGATTGATTCGTTGTAAAATAATGCTTACATTGTCCTTGAAATAGGCTATAGGAATTAAAAGAATCCATAAAGGCTTGCTTTATGTTTATCAACCCGTGTTTTTTTTTCTTCATCTACAGAAAAAAAATAAACAATGTTTGATGGTTAAGCTCCAGCTTATAGCGAATGTTTTAACGGGTTTTCAGCTTTTAAAATGTATGTTTTCTAACAGGAAATAATACACCCCAACATACCCCTTATATTTAATGATAAAAAAATGCTCCAAACGTTTTTCTAAATTAACTAAAAAAACTAAACTAAATTAGACTAAATATAATCACTTTGCCAATACATACAAAATTGAACTAAGGGGGAAAATTTTTTTGTCCCGTCAATTGCTTCGATATCACTGTCAGTCACCGCTCTTTCGAGAATGAACCCAGCATAAATATGCAGATTTAAGTAAATATATATATATATTTTTTCCGCTTATATATATATATATATATATATAAGCGGAACAGATACCTACGAGATCAAATGCAGATATCGCGTTATTCACACTCACGTGCTGTGTTGCTGATAAACATGATATAGTTTCAGTTCTGTTGCTTTTATATGGAAATGAATACAATACACAAGACACTCAAATTGCCTTGTATCGTTTCCCATAGATTCCGCGCAGATTTGGCTCATCTCAAACGAGCCTTTTACTGTACAGTAGCTCGCGGTGATGTTCGCTGCCACTTCAGTTCAGTGCGTTACATGACTGCCCCCTACTGATCATGTCTTTCCTGTGTCAATGCATTTTCTGTTTACCGGGAAATACACCAGTGTCACACGAGATCACTTTCCTTCCCGCGCGCAATTTGGATGGCCAGATCTGTATAATACATGTATGCTATATTGTGTGTCATACCATATAATTTGGGCATATGAAGAGCTGTATATTGTTTAACAGTCGTCTTACATACCGTTTGCACTTGTGCTAAACTGACCCAAGGCTTCTACTCACTACTTCACTCGTTCTAGTGACGTGACAATAAGTGATTTGCTCTGATTTCGAAACCAGTCAGCCAGCCTCAGAACACTAACCTTAACCGGGAATTCCTCAGCTTCACTTTCCTCTTCCTCATCATCATCTTCATCATCGTCTTCATCATCGTCGTCGTCATCCTCATCACTAGAAGGAAGCAGGACTGGTTCACAGTTTGTTCCCCCAACCTTCAAACCATCCAGAGAAGTGCCCTACTAACAAGTCTACATGCCAAAAACAGGCAAAAGCATTTGCACGACTGCAAAAACATGTATAACAACTGAACATGCACTACAAGAGCAGACGTAAAGTAAAACCACTGCTTAAAGCTTGACTCTACCACTATAAAGATCTCGCTCATTTGCAGAAGAAAATGTCACTGGTTGCAGTAGCAGTCTAAACTCAAATTTCCACCTGCTGCGACAATCATATTACTCACTCATCTTCATCTTCCTCCACCTCCATCTTCATCTTTTTCTGTGAGGAAGGAAAGCGTTAAGCGTGGTGGTGACAAACATCAAGGGACAGGCATGTCACACACTGACCATAAAACCACGAAAGGGACAAACACCACACGACCTAACCTGAGTTTTAGGGGCTGTCGTGGGGGCCGGCCTCTTGGCAGTTTTAGCCACAAGCTCTTCCTCCTCCTCCTCATCATCATCATCGTCATCTTCAAACGATTGCTCTCCATCGGTCACTGGAGGGAAAGTAGGCAAATCAGTCACACCCGTTGCAAGTGACATTCAGAATTAGCCATTTGTGAAATTTGCAAAAACTTGCAAATATGAGAGGACTTACGGACAAGATGCTGGCCAGTTAAGTGGACAGGACCAGAGCCTGATTTGAGCCTGAACACAACTGGGGGAGCAATCTCAAATCCAGCAAGACTGACCTGCAACACATGAAGGCAAATTTTTTCACAAGTAAAGTGAAAGTGATTCAGTCAGTCCCACTGAGTCCAACAGTTCAGTTCTTTACAGAAACCTCATACATAGATTAAGAATCTAAATCTCAAAACATGCAACAGAAGAATCAAGGTCACCCCATATCCAAAAACATGTTCTTCTAATGGTTGACAAGTAAATAAATTCAAAAACAGTATACAAGGATGGTAGCTAGCAGGAAAGGGGCACTTGAGGGAGCGCAGACTTATTGAAAACACCATAACGGCCCTTAAGATATAGACAGCAACTCACACAAGGCAGGCACGAGGGCCTCACTGAGGCCAGCACTGTCTTCACTGTCTGGCCATTTGCGTCACAACCTTCAACCTCCACAACCTGCAGTTCATCCTTGGTAGTTGGGT